CACCAACGATGGATGAGATGGCCCAGAAAATGTTTGCTTGTCGAGACGCGCTCTTACATGCGTGCCCGGGTGTTGTTGCGTCGCTCCTTGGAGAGCCCGCGGCTCGCAATGGCAGCCTCAAGGTATGTTCATGTACATATCATGAGTGGTGGAGTTCGATCGGTTCTTAGGTATTTGAGTTTTTACAGCATGAACTCCTCGTCAAGAGCCTTTTGCTCTCGCTCCTGGACCTCGTCGTGACACGGCTATTTCCTGAAGTCAAACCAGGCGCCCCCAAAGTGGCCTTGTTTACATGATAGTAGTACGAATTGGATAGTGCCGTAGATGAATGTCTCCAATACAACTTGTCTTGATATTGCACGCATCATCCTGGTGTAAGAGTGGTCCGTCCTTGATACTCGCGCAAATATCAATGACAATAGCGTGTGACGCCTTTCCAAGAGCAAAGCCTTTCGGAACTATCCAAAGAGAGCTATCCTATCATACGATGACAAGTGTATCGCACCGACGCCATCCTATAGTCGTACAATAGGACGTCCGATGTAAATCAAAGAGCAACGCGTAGTGATAGAAGATAGATAAATTGGATAGAAGCGGAACAACACTGTCCGCCATGTGGGTCGGCTGTCTACTTGGTCAGGTACGCGTGGATCTGCGGCGTGGCGCCAACACGGTCGACAATCGTCTGGAGCTTGGGATAGTCGACGAGGCGAACCGTGATCTTGTCATTCGAAAGCGTGTTGACAGCAAAGTCCAAGAGGTACACGTCCGCAAACGTCATGTCGGCGCCCGTAAAGAAAGGGCCAGCGACGCGCGCCTCGAGCTGGCGCAACATGCGCGGGAAGGTCTCGTTGTTGATGGTCTCAAACTTGGCCGCCTGCGCCTCGTCGCCCTGCGTCTTGTACACGGCGTCGACGACGGCGTTGACGAGCTCGACGATCGCATCGACAGCCGCGTCGGCCTCGAGGGCCGCGAGCGGGTCCGTCGGGTAGAGGCCCGTCAGCTTGGCGGCGTAGCGCGCAATGGCGAGCGACTGGCCGTACGTGGTCGTGCCGTTGACCTGGAGCGTCGGGACCTGGTTGAAAGGCAGGTTGAGCTCGCTCTTCTTGGCAAAGTAGTCGGGGAACGAATAGCGCGTGTCCTTGAAGTTGATCTTGCCGTGCGTGAGGAGGAGGCGAATCAACTCGGCGCGACCCGGAATGTCAAAGTACGTGAGCTCGAGATCGAGGGCGGGCGTCGTCGTGACCGGCACCGAAGCCGGGATCGAAGCCGTGGTCGATTGCGTGCAGCCCATGCTTGTGGAGGTGGAGGGAAATGAAAAAGTGAGAAGAAAGCTGTAACATTGTTCGCAACTTGCCTGCATTGCACGCGCTGTGAGTGTTTTCAGACGTCTTCACTGGAAGCAATCCCGGTGCACAAAATTGTGTCTTGTGTCTGGCTCCTGTGGCTGGAATGGACAGTTGTCGCAGAAATAGTGACGTTGCAACTGCACCGTCGCAGATTTCAGACTTCGAAGGAATGGAAATCGTATGGTCTACGGTGAGAAGAGTGACATGCGTCTCCGAGGACGACTTGGCCGTATCAATCCGTCGAAGTCCAAACGATGCTTGCCTCGTCGGATGGGATAACAATAACGTTCACATCAAAAGCGTTTGACGTTGCCTCCACACCTCACTTTTCCATTTCCCTCCACCCCCACAAGCATGGGCTGCACGCAATCGACCACGGCTTCGATCCCGGCTTCGGTGCCGGTCACGACGACGCCCGCCCTCGATCTCGAGCTCACGTACTTTGACATTCCGGGTCGTGCCGAGTTGATTCGCCTCCTCCTCACGCACGGCAAGATCAACTTCAAGGACACGCGCTATTCGTTCCCCGACTACTTTGCCAAGAAGAGCGAGCTCAACCTGCCTTTCAACCAGGTCCCGACGCTCCAGGTCAACGGCACGACCACGTACGGCCAGTCGCTCGCCATTGCGCGTTACGCCGCCAAGCTGACGGGCCTCTACCCAACGGACCCGCTCGCGGCCCTCGAGGCCGACGCGGCTGTCGATGCGATCGTCGAGCTCGTCAACGCCGTCGTCGACGCCGTGTACAAGACGCAGGGCGACGAGGCACAGGCGGCCAAGTTTGAGACCATCAACAACGAGACCTTCCCGCGCATGCTGCGCCAGCTCGAGGCGCGCGTCGCCGGCCCTTTCTTCACGGGCGCCGACATGACGTTTGCGGACGTGTACCTCTTGGACTTTGCTCTCAACATGCTTTCGAACGACAAGATCACGGTTCGCCTCGTCGACTATCCCAAGCTCCAGACGATTGTCGACCGTGTTGGCGCCACGCCGCAGATCCACGCGTACCTGACCAAGTAGACAGCCGACCCACATGGAGGACAGTGTTCTTCCGCTTGAATCTATCTTCTATCACTACGCGTTGCTCTTTGATTTACATCGGACGTCCTATTGTACGACCATAGGATGGCGTCGGTGCGATACACTTGTCATAGTATGATGGGATAGCTCTCTTGGGATAGTTCCGAAAAGCTTTGCTGTTGGAAAGGCGTGGAGCTTAATGGTCAAACCCTTCTGTGATCAAACCGAGGTGCAATACTGGCAAGCCGGCGTTGACTCGAAAGTACCCGATTGTACGCGCACAGTTCATTCAACGCATCATTTGGTTCCCCGTGGCATGGAGAAAGGAAATGCATCTGCTTGGTTGGTATGTGGAATAGGCACCATCGCTCCTCGAATGCGCACACGCTGGTTCACACAATGGTCTTTAGTTTGACCAAGCAGCAACAACTAGGTACACTCCAGACAAAGACATTATGTCCATCATTTTAGACGAGCCAAGCACTCCGTGGTCCAACGCTTGAACGTGTCTTGATTCGCTTTTGCTCCTGCGCGACGAATCGACGCGTGGAGCGTGCCAGCTCATTCTCTTGAAAATGGTATGTGATTCCCACCCACGTTTCGATTGGCTAAAAAACAAGTCCTAAAAAAACGTCGGCTGCTGGACGCCGACCATCTCTTCCGTCGACATCCTCGGCCTTTCCAACCCATCATGAGCGCGCACGACATCGAGACGGACTCGCCGCACTTTTCGCTCGCCGCGTACGAGCGCGCGGTGGAGACGCGAAGTGACTTGTCCATCGCGGTCCGCGAACTCGACAAGTGCGTCAACAACCCGACCGAGGTCTGTCACTGTATCATCGGCGTCGTCCCGTGACAGCGTGACTATCTATAGCTGGCGCGGGTCTACAATGGCAACGGCGTCGACGTCAACCGCACCGCGCTCTTTGTGACGCTGCAGTCGTCATCGCAGCAAGGCTCGACCGACACGGCGACCAAGAAGCTCCTTGAACACTCGGTCATGCGCGAAGTCATTGCACTCAAGTGGCAGGTAGGCACGTCGCCGCAGCAACGAGGCTCATGGTCGCGCTAGCGCTTTGGCCTTCGCATGTACATGGAGCAGCTGCTCATGTATTGCCTACTTTTGCTCTCGATGACGGTGGCTGTGTCGATGCGCCCCGGCGTCGACGCGTACCCGACGCAACTCCAAGCCTGGCTCTACGTTGGCATCCCGCTTCTCATTGCGCTGAGTGCGTCGCCGTGGTTCACGTACGAGCGCCGTGCGTCATGGCGCGCTGCGACTGCGGGTATCATTTGCATTGCGCTCGCCGTGATGCTCTCCATGCGCGAGTCCCTTCACGTGCTTCACTGGACGCTCTTTACCAACTTCAACACGGTCGTCGTCGGTCTCACGGGGCTCTACTTTCTGCGCTTCGAGCTCAACGAGATGTTTGGTGAAGTCGCGGAGCACAACCGGCTATTTGACTGCGGCTTCCACAGCCTCAGTCCGCGCTCGCAAAAGGTCCTCTACTACGTCATCTTTTGCCCCTTCTCGGTCGTCTATCAGTTTGCAGTGCTCTTGGTTGGCGGCGACACGGCCAAGTACTTTGACTCGTTCTTCAACTGCGTGCAGCTGCCGACGTTCTCGTCGGTCCTTGTATTTGCCGTGTACGAGCTTGTGGGGGACATCGACCCGACGCTGCGCCTCTACGGCGGCATGGTGCTCAATATGCTGCTCTGGATCCTCGGCCTCCAATACCTCGAAGTCCACGGCACCGCCGGGTACCTCATCCCGATGATGCGCGGGCTTCTCCGCGACGTCTTTCGGTTTCTTGCGTTCTACTGGCCGTTCCAGTGCGCCTACGCGTGCGGGTACTTTCTGCTCTTTCAAGACACGGACGAGGAGACGTACAACACGCTGTGGCGCGCGTTTGTCACCACTTTCCTCGTCATGCTCGGGCAAATTGAGCTCGATCCGTTCGAGAACCTTCCGGATACGTCGTCGTACGTACTCGGGTACACACTGCTGTTGTCGCATGCGACCATCGTCATGGTGATGCTGCTCAATGTGCTGATTGCCATCATGACCAAGACCGTGGACGGCGGCCTCGAACTCGCGAAACTCGAGGCGCTCGTGAGCTTCGCCGAGTGCGTCCTTCGAAGCGAGAAAACCGCGGGCTTGACGCCGATCGCGGCGGACGGCCCCGGCGACCACATGGCGCTGCTCTCGGCCACCGGTGACATTGGCTTCATCTCGGACGACCTCGGGTCGCCGTCGTCCAGCGAACGTCTTGACCAGATCGAACAGACGCTCGCCGAGGTTCTCGCGCTGCTCAAGGATATGAAGCGCCGCCCGTCCGTGTTCTAGTGTGGCCACGTGTATAACATGGGATGTTGTTGATGCGTCGAGATAAAGAACGTCAATTCTCTAGGTCACGCATCGCGCACCTCGTCTCTTGTAGCTACTACAAGCGCTATTGTACCCTAACACCCTAATAGGATCCAGCACCTCGTAGCAAAGTTAAGACTGTCGATGGATCCTAATGACCTGAGCTGGTTCAGCTTTGATGGGCAACGTACAAAAAATATGCAATTATGTAGCTGAGCTCGGCCAAAGTGCACTTTGCACATTGCACTCGACTCTTCACACCGCCATCTATTTCGGGACAGTCCTAATTCGACTCCAACAAGCCGATATATGCGAAACAAATGCTTAGATATAGCATGGCACGCCGGTGTAGAAAGGCCGTCGAAGCCTAAATTTAGGATCCTATAAAAAGGCATCGGAGATCTGTTTTGTGACATCGATCGAGCAAGGAGCAAGATGATGATTGGGGCCGACGACGACGAGTACTCGTCACCGATGCCACTCAAGAGCGAGATCTACAAGGACGACGCCGATGATGGCAGCGACCATGACGGTGATGCTGGCGCTGCTAGCGACGTGTCCGAGCCCATGCAGGAGCCGTCGCGCCGGCCTCGGCGGTTCCGCGTGCTCCGGCCGCGCGGCGACGCGCGCCCACGTTTTGCCTTTCGCCGCCGGCGCGAGCGCGATGGCGACCATACGTTCTGGAACTTTGTGCTGCTTTTAAGCTTCTTGTCGCTCGCCGTGCTCATTGCGATCGCCATCTTCCTCGCGCAAACCGACTTCTTTGTCGAACACCAAGTCGACCTCCTTGGCACGTACGTCGACGAGCACTTTACTGTCGTCTCGACCGAGACCGCATCCGTGTACCTCAAGAACAACGGTGCATATACCCTGTGACCACTAGTCTCACTCCTACATGGGACTAGGCCATGCGCCTGCGACCGCAAGCATTGCGCTGGAGGACGGCGCGATTCGTATCGGGCAGTACAAGCAAATTCCGTCCGACGACGCCAATGAAGACGACCACGAGCCGCGCTTTCATGGCGTCGAGGTCTCTGGCAATGGCACGGTCACCTACTCGAATGGGCTTGTCGGTACGCGGCTTGGGCTCCCGCGCCTCGAGTTTTCACAGGAGGATGGTAGCACCAAGTGTCCAGGCCACGACCGTGCATGCAAGCAACGTCATCTTTACGGATGGTACGACCATGACGACGGCGGCCGGTGTCAGCGGCGGGCTCGTGCAAGCCGGTGACCTCAACTTTGCGTCGCAGAAAGGCGCGATCGTGGCAAGCACGAGCGGCCAGCAGCGACTCCGCGTCAACGCCGACGGGGCCGTGTGCTTTCCCAACTCAGACGCTGTGCCGCCCGAGGACCCGTCGGCGCTCGGTATCACGATCGACGGCCGCCATGGTCGGATCGCTCTCGGTGCCCACTTGGTGCTCCACGCCGACAAGACAACCGCCGGTCTCCAGGCCACAACGCCGCTGACGCTTGAAGCCCGTACGCGCGCACTCAAAACCACAATCGATGCTAACAGCACGTTGTAGAGGAGCTCGTACTAGGCCGCGACGGCGCGTCGTCGGTGCGCGTCATGCCTCGGACGTCGTCGTCGAAGATTCGCTTGGAGCTAGTCGGGCAGTCGGCGGCCGATGCCGGCGGCGATGTCCTTGTCTCGGGCGGCCCCGGCGCCGTCGGCGGCACCATCACGATCCAAGGCGGTGCCGGCTCGGCCCGCGCCCTCGGTCACGTCGCTATCAACACGGACGAGCACGTGACCACGGCAACGAGCATTGGCAGCAACCAACCGGACAGCCACGTCAAACTGTCGGGGGTCCTCGAGCTCAATAGCGCCTCAAAGGAGCTCCCGACGTCGATCGGGGGCACTGTTACCGTTGCTGGCGCCTCCTTTGAGGTCGGGTCCAAGACGATGCATCTCGGCCACGCCAAAACGACGACCGAGCTGGCCGTCGCTGCAAGTGTCATTACGATGACGAGCGTCAAGGCACTCAACGTCACGGCGGAAACACTACGTCTTCGCGCTGTCTCCGTGGCACTTGGCGCTGCATCGACGCTTACTCTCGACGCCACAACGCAGCTGCAAATGACAGCCGGTACAACTTCTTTTCTGTTTTCGAGTCGACAACCCTAATCGCTTGTCCAGGCACGTTGAAATTGCAAGCGACGGAGATGCACATCAACAGCCCAGCGTCAAGTAGCAGCGTCGAGATCCACGGCAGCATCGCGCTTGGCGCCAACGCAGGCTTTCGCAAGCACGTCAACCAGACCATGGTGGCGCTCGGTGGGTCGTCCGTCCTCGTCGGCGATCCAACGGGCACAAGTTATGTGTCGTTGGCGGCCGCACAGAGCATTTCATTGACGGTAAACGGCTCGGCCCTCGCGATCGCATCGGGGCCCAACAAGATGGTGGCGCTGGCAGCCCCCGCCGGCATGACGCTCGGGGTTCCTGGTACGTACTTCGAACCCCACGATCGACGACCTTATGTGTTGCAGATGCGCCGGCCATGATGCTAGCGTCCAAAGCCGTGCATATCCAAGCCAACCAAATCCAAATCGGCGATGCCAGTCTCTCGACCCAAGTGCATTTGGACGGTATGTCATGCTGGACGGAATATGTGTTACTACATACTACTCTCTCCGCAGGCACCATCTTTGTCAACGGGGTCGAGTGGAGTGCACGACGGCGCCTCGACGCTGAAACGAGCAGCGCACTTCTTCTCTGGCAGAGCACGAGCGGCAGCATGACCGTCGACATTCGCACACGGCAAGAATTTCGACTCGCGTTCACGTGGTACATGGACCATACAATGCAAGCGCCGGCGCCGTTCGCTGACAGCGCCTTCGTCGTGACCCACCCGAGTCCTTCTTCAACGCCGCATGTCGAGCTGGCCATGAGCGTCCATGGGCTCCGCGCCCTCGCTACCTCGGCTATCACGACACCGCTCCTGCTCCGGTACGGGGATTTTTTTAAACGTTTTTGAAAGATTAATACTTTTGTAGCTGCCGCCTCGTCCAAACCTCGTTTGACGCGATGGGGCGCCGCGCCAAAGTGCTTTTGGAAGCATCCACCGAAGTGGACGTGTGCTCTGGTGACGACGCGACCGAGTGCATGGCCGGTGCCCTGGATCAGTGTCTCACACGATTGTGCGTAGCCATACGCTCTGGGCGTCGACGCAGTATACACTGACCTGTGCGTTGCGCTTCAAGCGTCCGCATGCCGCGCTCGATGCGTCCCTCTCGCTGCACTACGATCGGGCGGAGGTGACGGTTCGTAGTCTATAACGAGAGTGTAAACAAGGTGAGAGTGTTGATGTTGCATACACCAGCCACTGACGGCGATTTATTTTGGACATTCGTCCCAGTCTTGATGCACAAATGAGGCACAAGACCATTTACTGAGGGAGTGCAGCGTGGCAGCTGCGAGAGCTCGGCAAGGAAACACCCTAGTTCATGCTTCTTTCGGATTGTGATAAGTTGTCGCACAGAGGACGACTTTATGCTCGTATATCGCCCATACATCCTGGGCCCAAGCGAATCCGTTGTCCGGACTTGATGCGCAGTACACTGCACCGGCTGTGACGCACTTGCTTTGACACAGTTGGAATAGTTGAATGAATGACCGAGAATGGCAACACAGTGCCTTGACTTCGTATACCGTCGACAATAATCTTCGCTCTCCGCCACACAAGTGTTTTACAGGTAACAACATTCAACAACTTGTGGGCAAGCCTATCGACAAGCGCGTCATGGTGTTCCATACACTTTGCTGTCTTTCATCACCAATCCGGACGCGTACAACCAGTACAAATACAAAAGGGACTCTTCTTATAATCCACGACGAGTCCTAAACGAACACTTGACACCTGCGCTGGGACGGCGCTTATTTGGCCACGCACGAGCCGTTGACCGTGCCCTTCCGCCGGCGATGCGGTAGCACTTGGTCGACGGGAAGATGGCCATGATGTTGCTCGTCATCGAGAACGAGAGCGCGCCAAAGAACATGAAGATCAAGATGGCGCCCGCGAGCTTGCTCGAGCCGCCGCGCTTCTTGAGTTCTTGCATGGCGGCCTTTTGCGGCGGCAGCATCCAGAGCCAGAAGAGCGCCGCGACCTTGCAGCTGTACGAGATGATGTAGCAGTACGCGACCTCCCACCGGATCTCGGGCGTATCCGACTTGATGTCGTCGACCGAGACGCGGAAGAACGAGTTGATGTACTTGAAGAGGACCGACGCGAACGGCGACGCGAGGTTGGAGATCGTCGTGACGAGACCGTACGTCGCGCCCTCGTTGCCGACATCGGCAATCTCGACGGCGCAGTAGGTGGCGACGATGAAGCGGACGCCGCCCGGCACGTTGTCGGCGAGAATGACGCCCGTGTAGAACCACTGGTTGCGGTAGCCGTCAAAGATGGTCATAAACATGACAAAGCCGTCAATGGCGATGACACCGAGCGACGAGAGCGCGATGGCCCAGCGCCAGTTCCAGTTGAGGCCCCACTTGCCGACAACGACGAGAATCGCCGAGAAGATGAGGTTGCCAATGACGGCCGAGAGCGAGTCGTTGAGCGGCTCGACCTGGGCCCAGTGCGCCGCGACGGGCTGCCCCGGCGTCGCGTTCATGGACTGAAACACGTTGTTGACAAAGCGGAAGGCACAGATCTGCCACAAGACGCGCTTCTGGAGGAGACCCCAGAACATGCTGGCCCACTCGGTGAACGGCACGCGCGGCGTCTTGGTCTCGACGACCACAAAGATGGTGGTGAAGACCACAAAGACGCACGGCACGAGACAGATGCCAAAGATGACGTTGGCGCCGATCGCAAAGTCGAACGAGCCCTTGTAGACCTTGCCGTTGAGACAGAACGCGATGATGAGCTGCGAGAGAATCCCCATCAGCGTGCGCACAACGTAAATCGCTGTCTGGACACGGCCGCGGATGGCCACGGGCTCGCGCTGCGCGTACTGGACGACCATGGCGTCGGACGCGCAGGCCGCAATGACGTAGCCGAACGAGACGAGCATGCTCATCATGATGAAGAGCGTGCCACGGTTGGGCGCGTCCACGTCAAAGTAGTTTTCGAGGTCGCCCGCAAGAAGCTTGGCTTTGGCCGTGTCGCACGTCTTGGGGTCGGGCGTCAAGCGGCGGTCGCAGTACGGCTTGCCGAACGGCGTGAACGTCATGACCGCAAGACAGATCATCGTGATGGTCCAGCCGATGAGCATCCACGACTTGCGGCGGTAGCCAAAGATGGGCACGCAGTCCGAGAGCATACCAAAGAAGACTTTGAACGACCAGCCCGTGGTGACGAGGACGCCGTAGGACGCGGTCTGGTAGCCTTCCATGCCGAGGTACACCGTGTAGAGCGGGTACACCAAGCTCGGGATCATGCCGTAAATGACACCGATCGCACCGTACTGCGAGAAGAGACCAAAGGCTTCGCGCGAAAAGAGGTGCAGCGCACCGCCCTCGACGAGCGCGCCGTCTTCGAGCTCACCGGGCGTCTTGGCGTCCGTGTACTCGTCCTTGTCATTATTGTCATTGTCCTTGTTGGAGTGGATGTACGAGACACGCTCCTCGAGATCCATCGCGGCTTGTGCCATCCTGCGCAAATGGAAAAGTGATCGACCGAGTCACTGGTCCACGCTTGTGCGACTCAGACACGAATTGGGGCCAATGTCTGGCCGACTCGGAAGCTACATGTACCATATCCACGATGCAAACAGCTGTCGCGACGACAACGTTGTGCAGCGTTGCATGTTTTTGCCTCATACTACGGAGTCGAATGGAAAGATTTCATGGGGTTTTCAATGGCATCCACCACCAGTGTCGGTGGTGGTGCACGACACGGCGTGGCAAGATGTGGGTATGGTTGATATCAGATTTACAGCACTTTCTCGGCGTCGATCGGACTGAAGGGGTAGTTCAGACGGGTGCATTTGACGTTTAACCCTACTTAAATGAACCGTTTCATCGAGCTTCTTCCTTGTGTTCTTTGTGGCACATGCCGAGCGTTGCCATATTATGGTGACCGTCTTCCGTGACATTCGTGTCCGGATGGGGGGGAGTCTGGATAGAAAGAATCGGCGTGTCGGGATCGAACAGGACTGGAGGGGAAAAATGACTTCGGATGTGGTTTCGGAACAAGCGACTTGGAGTCGTGCAAGAGCCTGCTTTGTGAATGTCGTGGGCATCGTGACAAGTGGCGTGCTGAGGTGTCCGGGATGTTGAACGTTGTGGCAGTGGCTTTGGAGCGAGGCCGATGCGGATGAAACGCAGTAGAGATCGTTCCTGTCGTCCCTTAAATGGTGTGCTTCGCGATCGTGCTACTCTGTGCGCGGTCGTTGAACTTGTGTCTTTTATACCTTCTATGCCCATCCGAAAATGCGGCTGGTATGCGCCCAGAGGTATGTATCCGGAGAGTACTCTGGTTCTGAACCTGATGTCACGTGTGTTGCCAGTGACTTGTACCCATATCCAATCACCGTGTGGTTCTAGGACCTGAACGAATTATTTTAGAGAGCCTGTAAGAGAGTAGTTCACCTCTGTGCGTTATCCAAGCGTAGGTCAATCGTGCGTCATGCAAGACATCTGGTGTCGATGCTGGGTGCGCCTCTGCTTCAAGCTCGCATGAGGCAACTTGTTGAAGGCCACGCCAGTCTCTCATTTTCCATTCATGACCGAAGCCACACCCCTCAGCCGCAGCCGTGATGCTGAGGCCCACCGCCTTCGTTACCGAAAGTACTATGCGCGAAACCGCGCAACCATCTTGGCCCGCATGCGCGCTCGGTACGCCGACAACCTCGAGCTGGAGCACGATCGCCAGCGCGACAAATACTTGCGGCGGAAAGCTCGGCGAGAGCTGGCGTCTATCCAAGCACAGAATCACGCGGTGCACCTTCCACTCCTGCTGCCTCCCATCGACAAGGGTAGCATCAAATTCATTCTCAACTACTAGTAGTAATACCATTATCCTATCGCGCGTTCACGCTCTGTCCCCCGCATCAACTTCCCACACTTCGGATATCGACGACTTGGGATGCGTCCACTTTTGCGACTGCTAGTGGGGTAGGTAGGAGTCACCAACTTCGCTCGACTACAATGTACGCCCCCATAAACCACTACAGAGAGCCATCCCACAGCCGCAAACGCATTGTGATTGGGCGAGCACATAGAAATAGCGAAGAAGGGGTACAATATTCTTTTTTTTCACATGGCTTCTTCGCCCAGGGGGAAAAAGGGCGCGAGGCCTGCATTACCGCTGCACCTCGGGTGAGGCGTGGCGGGTTGCTTAGCGGAGATCGAAAACTAGAATGCTGGGCTCTTCCGACCCGTCGTTGGTTTCGCTGAGCCGCTTCTCTTGAGAAGACTGCTTCGACTCCTTGCAGGCGCGAAACACTCATATTATTGCGCATTATTATAATAGCATTGTT